GGGACAAGGACAGAGAGAGATCACTCACCACTTACAGTCATGCACAGAACAGACTGGGGTAGGGGAAAACTCAGCTTATTACCAATCAGAGTAGGATAGTGAGAATTAAAACCACATCTTAAAAACATCTTTCCCTGACCCTTCCTTTCTTCTCAAACTCAACCTCTCTCCCAAATTATCTTTCTCCCAAGTGGCCTGGGGGACAGGGGTTGGGGGCTGTGTTCAGTTTATCACACATTGTCTCTGCTGCTCCTTACTCCCCAGGGAATGACTCCACACTCTTCTCCTGTTCCAGTGGGGGGGTCCCTCCCACAGGAGACGGTCCTCCATGAACTTTTCCGACATGAGCCTTTCCCAAGGGTTGCAGTTCTTCATTAACTGCTCCAGCATTAGTTGCTTCCATGGGTTGCAGTCCTTCAGGAACAGCCTGCTCCAGTGGGGGTCCCCTGTTGGCAAACCTGCTCCAGAGTGGACTTTTTTCTCCGTGGGTCTGCAGGTCCCTGCCAGGAGTCTGCCCTGTCATGGACTTCCCATGGTGTCGCAGACTCCTTTGGGCATCCTGCTTCTCTAGGCAGTGTCTACAGGTGGATCTCTGCTCCTCCATAGGCTCCATGGGCTGCAGGGGCACAGCTGCCTCACCAGGATCTGTAGCACAGGCTGCGGGGGAATCTCTGCTCTGGCACCTGGAGCACCTTCTCTCCACCTTCTGCACTGACCTTGGAGTCTGCAGAGCTGTTTCACATTCTTGCTTCTCTCTCTGGTTGTAGTTGCTGGGTTTTGTTTCGGGTTTTTTGGTTGTTTTTTTCCCCTTCTTAAGTACATTATCCCAGAGGCGCCATCCCAGTTGCTGCTGGGCTTGGTCTTGGCCAGCGGTGGGTCCCTCTTGGAGCTGGCTGACATTGGCTTTATTGGACGTGGTGGAAGCTTCCAACATCTTCTCACAGAAGCCACCCCTGTAGCCCCTGCCCCCACCCCCCTAGTAAAACCTCACCATGCAAAGCCAATAAAGCTATGAATTACTTCAGTGAAGTAATTATTTTTTACTTAGATGCCTGATTTAAATGGGAACAACTTTAACACCTACCAAATACAGCCAGAAACAAGCATTTGTGTGCTCTGAAACTTGAACGTAGCTGGTACGAAGAACACCAGCTGTGGCTGCACAGTCAAAAATCATTGCTGCATTTAGGTAGTGCCTCAAAGGAAGTGCTTTTGTGTGCTCTCTTGAGACAAGCTTCTGAAATGATATGTAGGTCTCTTTATTACTACAGTAGTAATCTCTATCCCCTTGCCTGTGGTGTGTGTAATACTTCCCAGTTCTCAAGTCCCGCTTCGCTGCTGCAGTTTGCTGTAATCGATAGCCCCCGTCATGTGCACCTGGAGGGTTTCCTGCATGTGGCACAGTCTTAATTGAGTCACTAGAGATTAAACTGGCTGAACAGAAGATATACAAGTGCTGCTGATCATGTTGGAATCACTGCAGGACCAGTAAGGAAGGTTTGGGGTTGAAGGGGTTACTAATGTTCAAGTCACTGCTGTCATCCCAGTTGCACTCTGAGCCTTTTGGTGCCTTCTTGGGAACAGAAATTCCCACACCAGAGTAGTTTAATGGGGTGCCCAGGCTTCCAAGTCTTTGAAGGTGAATGCTAATTGTTATTTCTGGTCATACCATCATATCCCAATGCGGATAATGCCAGAGTGACACTGGTGATTAACCTGTCAGAAGTTGTTGCCTTAACGTTCCCTGTGTTAGAGATGTGTTTGAAGAACTGCAGAAGGCGGCAGATACCATCTCTAGTGACCTGGGAAATTGCAAACAGTAAAACATAAATAAATTTCAGGTGGGCTCAGTGGTGCATGCCAGAGTCTGGATATTAAATGGAAGTTCATTATGCAGAAATGTGTTTGAAGCGAGGGCCAAGCAGAGGCACCAAAAGTTTGTTGGTCCAACAGGAAGCATCCTGAGGGTCCAGAGAACACTGTCACTTGCTGCATTAGTGTTCACAGCACTTTATTGAAATACCATTTGAGGGAAAGAAGGGAGCTTACACAGTTGCAGTGTACCAGGAGGTTTTCTGCGCTTTTAAACATGTAATCTTCAAATTAAGCCTGTACAACCTTTTAGGTTCCCTTATATTTCGAGCAATTTCAAGCAATGGCTCACAGAGACCCTACATTGACTCTCAGAACTTGAGTAAAAAAACTTTAGTAAATGTCTGCAATATCTGGGCTATTAGACTGCCCATATGCTGTTAGAATAGCTGTGTAACTGAACATGAGAAACAAATGACCAGATAATAAAAAGTACCTCATCAGAGCAGTGTTATGTTTTGCAGGTGTGGTCATGTCTGTTGGGCAATTCAATGCTCTGCTACCACTTTTAATTATATTTACAAAAATGTAATTAATTGAGCTGTAAAAATATACTTGGAAGGCACTTGTTCAGAAAACACAGACCAGCATGACCACTGCAAAAAGCAGTACCAGAGCTGTCAATACTAGCTTTAATTCAGAAAAATGCTGGTTTATAAGGTGTGTCACTGAATTTTTGATTCATGTTATGTATCCAGAGAGGCTGAAAGTGTGTTCAGATATTTTGGGCATTGAAGGATATATCAGATCTGCTGGTGTTTCTGTGCTTCAGAATTTTTTTATGTATGCCAGCTTTCACAGCTGCTTGATTAAAGTCTCTTTTAAGCCTTTGCTAAAGAAAGAGGCAGCATTTGTCTGGGTATCAGTTGTTCAGGAAATTTTCCAAAAGCATAAACTGTCTTTCATAAATATTCTCATACTGGTGTATCCCAACTTCTGAAGTTTCAGGATACGAGAAAACACCTTTGACTATAATTTAGGAGTGCTGTTATCTCAGAATGTGAGATAACAAGCCTGGCTTCATTTGTTCATATTCATGTTGATTAAGTAAAATATAACTAGAGCATTAGTGACAACAAATACTTTTGAAGCAGCCTGGTTCCCCATTTTGTAAGGAAACATGAAAATTGTTGTTTGTTGTAGAAATTAAATCTGTGTTCAATGAGGGAGTTAATTCTTTTAAAGTTTCCATCTTGCCATCATCAATAGGTGAGCAGAAAGGGAACACTGGCAGTCCCAGCAGAAGTTACTAGCCTCTTTCTCAGCCTGATACCAGTATAATAAAATAAACCAGTGTTTCAACCAGTTCAATCCATCCTGTGTCAGACCTCTTAAATACCATGTAAAAGACTCTCCTACCTGATTTATTAACCTTTTAGGTAATTTAATACTCTTAACTAGATCCAGGATCCTACAACTGCTTTATTATATCTGGGAGGGAGGCAAACAAAATACCCAGGGTGGTTCAACTTCCTTCAGGATTCTCTGGACAAGTTATAATTCTGTGTTAGCAAGATACTTGGGAATCCTTCCCATCTCAAGGATGAGCTACCCTGAAGTTTTTTAATCAAATGAAATTTGTGTTATAACTCCTACTCAGCTCTCCCTTAGCAGATTATCACTTTAAAATTCATTGTTGAGCTCACATCTTCCAGAGCATGAAATTTAGTTTTGTCGTATTTGAAGGCATATTTCCTAGTTTTCCTCCATCACACTGCTAAAAAAAAAAAATTATTTTTTTGTAAGCCGTAGCTTTTCTTTTCTTATTTTTGTGTTCAGTATTTATCCACATTTTGAAAGGATTGCCAGTTGCCACTTTCCTGTGCTTTACATACAAACAAAAGGGCAAATCAGTAAATGAAGGGTAAATGAAACTCTGGAATAACATGTGTTACAGTATTCATTTTTATAAATGACTATCCTTTCTCAGAATTTTCATATAACTGCATTCATTCAGCCAACACTCTTCATTGTCTGCAAATCACCAATGACAGTCTCAGTTCTCCTCCCAGCAGATGCCCTCATTCTAGACAGTTTTACATCATTCAGACATCACTTCAAGTCCACGAAGATTTGTAATTGTTTTGGAAAGCTGAAGGCCTGTAGCACTGGAGCAGACGAGTAGTCAGATTTCCCAACCTTATCAGTAGGAGACGAAGTTATATCAAGACAGAACAGCAACAAACATTAAGCCTGCTGAGAAAACTGGACCTTTAATTTTTAAAACTCTTTAAGCTGCTGGTCAAATCAACTCATGGCCTTGATTTACTCACCTCTTTTCAAGTTTGTGTGGTGTTGCATCACTCTCTTTTAAAACTGTTGGGAAAAAGCAGTTTATTGAGGAAAATACCAGCTCCTATTCTAAATCCTGGTAGATAGTCATGTAAGTCATGGATTGTAGCAGACTCTATAAAGTGGTGGTGGCGACAGCTGGGAAGATCATCCCTTGACCATTTCTTGGGGTGGTCCTGTGCAGAGGCAGGAGTTGGACTTTGATGGTCCTCGTGGGTCCCTTCCAACTCGGGATATTCTATGATTGACAAGGACGTTCAGTGAAGCTGCCAAGACTACACATGCTCCTGCTTTTACAAAGACCTTCTGTCTTGAACACGAAGAGAAGCAGTAGCTGTTTGTAGGTGGGCAGCAGGAAGAGCTTCCATTCAAGAGGAAATACTGGGCATTGTAGGCTTAAACCCGAGGAAATACTGGGCATTGTAGGCTTAAACCCAAGGAAATGACCATGTACAGAAGATGCCTAAAAAGGATGGGCTTGTGCAGGCATGTCATAGACAAGACTCCAGGGGTGGTAATTAATTCCAATTTTGTTCCCAGAAAGCTTCAGTTCTCTTCTAGCTTCTGTCACCACTCCTGGGTTTACTCCTGCTCTGCCCCAGCCCTGCCTTGACTCCATGGTATTGTTCTGCTTCATAATTCTACACAGTCTTGCTGAAATCCTTCAGCCTCCTCATTGTCCTGTCTGAGACCTTTTCACAAGAAACTGTAAGGTGGAGAAAGCAGTGACCAAAGATATGTTAAAATAAAAAAAGATGGTCTCGTCAAATCATCTATTGAGAGTTTCAGGTGATGATACGAGACAGTTAATCTTCAGGTGTTTCTTTCTGTTGCAGGGTGGGAACAACGCAGGCCATACTGTCGTCGTTGATGGGAAAGAATATGATTTTCACCTATTTCCTAGTGGCATCATTAATCCAAAGGCAATTTCTTTTATTGGTAAGACAATTATGCAATTTATTATATAAAATAACATTGTATAGTGGATAGCTGCAACTGTATGTTTTAGTAACAAGTAAAGAAAATCGTGACAGTCAGATTTGCTTCAGCTGTATGACTTCTATTCCACTGCTGCTTTAACATGAAGAATTTTTCTACTTTCAGTGTCAGTTTAGTTTCTGCTGGTAGAAAGCTGAGAGCAAGAACACCCTCTTCCTATCATTTTACTCCTTCTTATACTTTATGGTGCAAGTTTGAATTCCACTTGTATGCTCCTTTTATACTTTCAGAAATCTGCGTGCTATTCTTTGAGGACACAAACCCCAGGACTTAGGCTAAATAAATAATATAATTTATCTCTGACATCTCTTCTTTCAGAAGCAGGCCCCGAGATACCAGACTCTGCTTGGAAGGTTGTCATCCAGTCTCCTTTTTGTTCACATCACCAGCTGTTTAGGGTGATGTTGTATTTTGCTATAAAGATATTTGGTGCAGATGGCATCATAAAAAGGTTTGCATTGCCTACTGGACATTAAACTCATATTTAAATGATAGGCAAATTTAAGGCCCAAACTTATGATTCTTTCTGACAGAAATTATGTACAGTCTGTGCAAGAAATGAGTCTAATTTTAGTGAGTCATGGACTTTCAGTTTTTTTCCATTTGATAATTTCCAAATAAAAGATTGAAATATATTAAACATATTTTTCCTCTCAGCTAAATATGCTGTGTTATCTTGCTTTCTGTTTTACTCCCTTGTCAATTAGTAATGACTATTACTTAAGTTTTGCTAAATTTAGGCTGAGACAGGCTCTTGCATGTATTTCTGACGTTCCCAAGGAGGCAGCAGCTGTTTCCAGCCCACTGCATCACTAATCCTCCACGTCTCGCCAGCACTGCCCTGTATTGCTTGTGGATTCTATGTTGTGCTCAAAAGCAGGGGTGAAGCATTGCTAATGCATTACAGCACAAGTTCGAGCTCAGTTTAAAACAAATACCTGAGTATTGAAGAAAATTTACGTATTTTCACGCGGGGTTGTCAGTGTGGTAAGGCCACGGACTTCTCTGAGCTTCTCCCTGTGAACAATTGAGGCTGAAGTCGTGGGGCAAAGTCCACCACAAACAAAGACAAGAATCTGCTTACCTCAGCTGGCTGTGCAGCAGCCTGGCGTTCACGCCTGAAACAAGCCCGCTCTGGTTTTCCTGATTTTAGCAGGCTAGTAGCTGCTTACCCAGAATCAGGATTTATCCAAAAAGTTCTCAAGATCACTTTGTGAGAAATTTAGTTTTGCTTTTTAAATAAAACTTCAGACAGCAAGTGTTTACAATGCCTTACTTCCTAAGAGTGAGTATTTTATTCCTCGCTTTAAAATAAATCATTTATGTTCCCAAAGGTAATGGAGTGGTTATACATTTACCAGGCCTGTTTGAAGAAGCTGAAAAGAATGAAAAGAAAGGTTTGTATCAAGTAATTTTTAACCTACCTTTATATTGGCAGCCAGGTTGAGGGTTTTTGTAAGCTGTTGTTTCTGGCCGTAAGTACTTGGTGCAATAACAGTCTGGATTTTAAAAACAGTGTTTAAAATGTTTAATTGTGTTGTAGTCTTCAGACATATTTTCAAAATCAATCTTTTCATGTGTTTTGGGGAGTTCTATGGCATTTGAAACCACACTAGATGGAAAATAAATCCTAAAGTGTGTGGTAAGCTCCCTTTGACCTCAAACTGAGATGATTTAACCCAGAGTTTCTGTACCCAAATATAAACTCAGTTGATTCTGCTTTGAGTGAGGCTTTGGACCCTATGACCTTCCAAGGTCCCTTACTACCTAGATTGTTTTATATTTCTATATAGAAATCCTCTATTTTCTGAGGCACAAAAGGAGTTTAAGTGATGTATGGTATAGTGAGTTAAACAAGATTTCCTTGAAGTAAGAATTCTGTGTAAGCCACAGCATTATGGCATTAAGAAGTGAGTATCTTTTTCCATGCCAAAATGAGAAAGCTGATAATTTAAAAATGAGAAAAGTTTGTTAACAGAAACATTGCTATATTTGATGTTTGCTTATGGTTTATAGATTTTATCTGGAGTCTTCTTAACAAGAAGCTATATAAACTTGAAGAAAAGCATAGAAAAACTGAAAGTCAATGTCAAAGTTTGACCAATCAGCACAGCTGAAATCCTACCTTTCTTTATGTCTTCTGACAGGTTTAAAAGATTGGGAGAAAAGACTGATTATATCAGATAGAGCACATATAGGTAAGTGACGATTGAAGGGGGAAAAAAACCTTGCACATGGTTGCTTAGCTCACGATGCTAAAGTATTATCCCACAGAGCAGTGATGTATTTGATCTAACACAGCTTCTTTATGTGTTGTGTGTCTGAAGGATAATAATGGAATTTGTAGCCACTGAAGAGTGATGTTTTACATGTTTTCACAACCTTTAAGGAATACTCGCTCTGTTTTCTCTTGGGGAGGCCTGTGCACTGTCAGTGACAGTAAAGGCACTTTGTCTTGAAATTATGGATGTCCGTGATGTAAAGAATGTTTTTCTCCTTTGGTCTTCCACTAAATCCATTTGATTTTCCATTGCAGTGTTTGACTTTCACCAGGCAGTAGATGGGCTCCAGGAAGTGCAGCGTCAAGCACAAGAAGGCAAAAAGTAAATATTTTCAACTCCCTAGTTTCATTAATAGTTACGCAAATTTGAAAAAAAAATGGTGTAATTTTGGAAAACAGAAGTGCAGTGTATTTCTAAAGAGTCTTGTTGATATTACTAATTCTGTGACTCAGTTCTGCTTCTACTTATGTTAGTGAACAAACTAACAAACTGTCAGCCAGACTCAAGGCTTCATGCTTTACTGTATACCACAAATATTAGCAATATTTATGCAAAGCCTGAAAGTTGGTATATATTTGTTGTTATAGAACTTTAATATCTTTTTATGTCTCAGACCTCCTGCCCAATATGTGATATAGTGATGAGCTTTAACAAAATTACTTGGCATGAAGTGTATTTTTGCATATATTTATACATGTTGGGGTGGGGTGGGTGTTATTTTCACTTAGTATTGGCACAACGAAGAAGGGGATTGGACCAACATATTCTTCCAAAGCTGCACGAACAGGCCTTCGGATTTGTGACCTCCTTTCTGACTTTGATGAATTTTCTTCAAGGTAAAACTATTTTCATTTCTAAATATTATGTTAAAGAGTGATGTATTTTGGCTGAGAGATTTGCTTTTAAGGGGATGTTTTTAAATATATGTCTGAATTTTGTATATAAATTGTCTAGAAGGACAAGAAAACTGGAAAGAATGTGTGTGTGTATTTTGTGTACTTCACAGATTTTCTCATAATTTAAAATGTAATTTTGTACATTGGGAAGTGCACTGGTTGAGGTATCAAGGTCCTGGTATTTTCTCGCTGTAGCTCTCAGTATATGCTGCAAATAATACAAAATGATTTCTTGCCAAAGGTTCTGTGAACAGTGACTATGTTCCTCAGAGATACAATTTCAATATTTTTCAGATTTAAAAATCTGGCACAGCAATACAAGTCAATGTTTCCCACGTTGGAAATTGATACAGAAGGACAACTGAAAAAGCTAAAAGTAAGGATTTAACAGTTGTAATGTTTATTTTCATTTAAAAAGTAAAACCAAAGTGTACTAGAACTACCACTGATTAAACTAATTAACTAATTTATGTGAAAAATGCATGCGTTCATTGTTATAAAAGCTTTAATAAGCAGTAACTATGCTTTGTAATAGAATGTTTTCTCTTATTGTAGGCATTAATTTAAACTTTGTGGATGATTTAATTCTCCTGTAATATTTTACTTTTTTGCGTTGTTTAAAATGACTGTTGTATTAAAGTAGTCAAGAGAGTGCAGGGTGAGAATTTCAGTTAGTATTCTCCAGTCTTTCTGATGGACTTCCGTGATTACTGAAGAAATGTTTGTGGAAACCTTTTTCAGGATCCTGGTATTACAAGAAAATTGTCTTTTTATAAATAGGTTTAGAAGAGACACTGATAAAACAGCTTCTTTCATGAATATGTGAGAAAAGAGGATGAGAAAAATATCTCTTACCTTTCCCAAGTTTTATCTCACATTTGTTCAGAGCTGACACCCTAAAGATATTTTTTAATATTCAAAAGGAGTGATCTTTTTTTTCTTCTGGTGCTTGCACTATTTCTAAGTCCCATTCTCAGTGTGTCTAGACTATCAACACACTGTCTAGAGACTACGGCAACAAAATTTGCTAAGTATACCACACCTCTGTGAACAGAAATTATACAGAAATTATGGCATTCTAATGCCATAATAGGTCATCTTTTTCTTATGTGGTTCAATAGATTGATTTGTTTTCAAATTATAAACTAGTGGTTGTATTTTTCAGGAAAACACAGTTATTGAGGCTGGAAGCTTAGAATCATCTGTATGTTTTGTCCTTCAAACGTGAACAGAGTATTCCCTGCTTCCAGCCATTGTCTGGGCAAGCTGACATTTGTACTCAATTTGCAGGGATATGCTGAAAAAATAAGACCCATGGTTCGAGATGGTGTGTATTTTATGTATGAAGCTCTTCATGGCTCTCCAAAGAAGATCCTTGTTGAAGGAGCCAATGCAGCATTACTTGATATTGACTTTGGTAAGTCATATTCTAAACTCAGTTTAACTCCTAAGAGATCAGTTTTATTTTGATTTGTTTTATTTTGATTTCAGTTTATATTGACTTGGCAAACAGCTGGAAAATAGGGAAACAAAATAGTCTTTCCTTAATAGGAACAGATCTCCCAGAAGTAAAGCACAAATAAGACAGGAATTGTATCATTAACAGGATTAAATGCTTAGGGTTTAAAAATTGATTTTTAGAGAAGTTTATTCCAGTGGAGTTGAAATTTCACTCCAGACATTATTGTCTTTATTACTTTTAAATATGAGTGTACACATTTCCAGACAATCCAGGCACTCATTGCAGTGCTGCTGAGATAATTCCTCTGCAGTGGAGGGAGGATTAAACTCATGCAGTAAGTAACCTGTAAGTCTTGCTGCTTCAGTTTGCCTCTGCTCTGCTTTCTTACCAAAAGTCTAATTAAACAACCTAGTTCTCAATGAAAATGAAATGAAGAATTGAGAGATTCTCCAATCAGGAGTCACGGTGTAGAGATTATGAGTAACCTCTTAAGACTTAGACAATTTGTGACAGATACTCAGAGCCACTTGTGTAGAGCATTTGGAATGTCGGACTGTGACCTTTACACCAGGCTCTCTATGGATGTAGTGGAAATACTTTCTGTGATACACAACACATTGAAAAAAGCTTTACACAGCAGCAGCATCTTATAATAGATCCCATGCCTAATGGATGTAGTATTAAGATGCTTTTCAGCTTCTCCCTTGTGGGCCATTCTCCGTGAAAGTTACAAAGAATGAATGACATATAGCAAGAAGAATTTCCCCGCTCTTTGGCTGCTGTTTCAGTTTAGCTTTAAAGCCGAACATAGAGGTGAAAATCTCCTTTGAAGTGATAAAGGAAAAACAGTCTTTGTTTCTTACCGTTGCTGAAACAGGGTTGTGCTGCTGTGTTTTGACAGGCACGTATCCCTTCGTGACCTCGTCGAACTGCACCGTGGGCGGTGTGTGCACCGGGCTTGGTGTCCCTCCCCAGCACGTGGGTGATGTGTATGGAGTGGTGAAGGCCTACACCACTCGGGTGGGAATTGGAGCCTTCCCCACCGAGCAGATTAATGTAGGTTTAACGTTACAAAATGTGATGTATACAGTTGCCAGCAAATAGCAGTCGATGGAATGGGGTAAGGGTATACCAGGAATAAATAAGCACTGTAATAATAATGCCGAGCAATGGCGCTCGTGAAGAGGAGAATTACATTACAGACTTAAGGTATTTTTCATCAGTGTGATGATGTTATATTGCAGGGACCATGCTTCTGTTGTAGTGAATTATGTAAAAACAGATTTCATCATCTTATATAAGATCTTTAGGTGTATTTCAATGGCGAGAGTTTGTTGTAGACTGGAACTGTCAGCACGTCAAAGGAGAGCATAAATTACAGGATAAAACTTCTGAGCTTAATAGCCTGTGTTCTGTGTGATTTATAGAATAAATGTGGCATGTGCATCAGCCAGTCATGCACAAATTGATCAATAAAAAGAAGGGGAGAGATTTTGATTTCTTTAAACTGTCTACTGTATTTTCATTAGCAAGAAACTAGAAAGCTTAGGTATTGTTTATGAGCTATGCACATGGCAATCTCTAAGTCAGTGTTCCGAATCTAATTTAAGGATTTAGTCACTAAAATCTTTTCTCTAATAACTCAAATGGGTTAGTGGTATCCTTTAAGCTTATGGAGCATGAACATGAAGTTTCTTCCTTCTTCATTTTTAGCCCATTATAGACACTGCCAGTCCAAAAGGAACAGTTTCATACTGTGGTAGAACCAGGGATCACTTGACATGGACATGGAGTCTGACCTAGATATTGTACAAGCATTGGTCTTGTCCCAAGCATTTACAGTCTTGTCTGTAAAAACAATAGATGCCAAAAGACCAGATGAAGCAAACACAATTTTAAAGATGGCTGAATTGCCAAGGAAATCTTTCTTTTTAGATGAAGAAGGAAGAAAAGTGTCTCCTTGGAACATGAAATAGTCATATTAAATAAGTGGTTTGAAATGCTAATGATTGCAATACAAAAATCCTGTTCATGAGGGACTTTGTTCTCTGCCTTAGTCCCATCCTAGTAAAACTTAACCTTTTTTTCATTTTTGCTTAAAAAAAAAAAAGCCTTGAAATTGAACATATTCTTCTTGCTGTTCATGCAGTTTTTCAGTGAGATACCATCAGCATTCTTTCTGTCTTATTTTAGGAAATTGGAGATCTTTTACAGTCCCGTGGCCACGAGTGGGGAGTAACTACAGGCAGAAAGAGGCGCTGTGGCTGGTTAGATCTTGTCATTTTGAAATATGCTCATATGATCAACGGATTCACTGCGTAAGCATCAAAGATTTTGCGCTACATTTGGAAGTGATAATTTTGTGCTTCGCAGAATAAATATGTAGGTAACATTAATATAAGTCCAGTAAAGTGTTACATTTTAAGCAATACATTAATTCACAGTGGGCAACTGAGAATTGTCTTAATGCTAATAATAATCTAATTCCTTTTTTTTTTTTTAATTAAGCAACTTTACGACATCATAGCAGTGATTTTTTTGGTATATGTTTTCACTTTGCTTACCTCAGATGGCCAGTGTAGATTGGATCAGTGTATCAGTTTTCTAACAGTTTGCTCTAGTGTTCTTGATCCAGTGCTTTCATACTGTCTTGTGCTGGGTTTGAGCTTTGGTTGCCTCTAGTGGATCCTACTTGTAGGACCAATTCTGCATCATTTGGAACCACTGCCTCTATAAGTGAAATAAATGGGATGACCCAAAGTATATAGTGGCTGGCACAGTTTTCATTCCAAGTTCATTTATTTACAAAGGCACAGTCAAATGTTGTATTATAAATTCTGCTTTTAATGGGCTGACGTTTTGTTTCTTTGGGATGAAGTGACTTACTTGGTTGATAAAATATTTTATAATTCAAAACACATATAAGATTGGCATTTTACAGGAAAAGTGGCTGTTTAAAGGAGCTGTTCATGACCATAATGCCCTCAAGCTAGCCTATGTCTAGTGCTAAAATACTAGTAGCTATCACAAGCCATTAATTTGTAACTAACTACCAATCTGTATCTTCAGAAAAAGTTGCAAAAGTTTCATAACAGTTTTGTTCATATGAGGTGTAGACTTACTGATGCATTCAGGCAAACTTGTTCATATATGCAAACACGTGACTCTGGGAATTTTAGTGTATTATAAACTGAGACTTAATTTAATATTGTTTATACTACTACTGATATTACAAAGGAACAATGGTCTTGTTCATTAATTTATCAGAAGGACTTTTAGGTTTTGGTTTGGTTTTTTTTTTTACTTGGATTTATATTTTGCTTTAACTTACACATCTCTAGTTTATGTGGAAATAGCTTTAAGAAGTCATTAAGTTGCCTTTTATTTCAGTTCTATACAATTACTGTCCTCTTATCAATAAAACTGCATCATCTCTGATAGCTGTGACAGTGAAAAAACATGAGCAGATAAAAACATTTGAAAAGTTGAAGAACTGTCTATAGGTGCTTCTTTCCCAAAAGGTCTTTGCCTTTAATCCTTGCATTCATCACATACTTACTGAGCACATACAGCACAGACTGTTATGCACATACCTGTCTAAATCCTTAACTACACAGATTTTTACCAAGCAAGGTCTAGGGTATTGTTTCTGGAGAATCTGAGTAGTGCTAAAATGCAGTTTTATTCTGATCAGTGAATACTACAGTGTCTTCTCGAGGTTCCATTTTTGTGTACCAGTTGGTTTATTCACAAGATGAAAAAGGTTCATTAAACTGACAGCACATCCCAGGCACTGAAAGTCAGGCTGGGATCCTTCCTACTGAACTGCAGACGTGGTTTTAGTAACCAGACCGTGCTTGCTCTGTTATAAAAATGTAACTTAGTAAATAAATCTGTCATAGAGTTGTTGTGAATCAGTAGGAGTACTAAAAAGTCACTGTCAATGATGTCAAGTGTTGTACCCCCCCCAAACCAGGCCCCTCAAGTGCCACTTCACCTAGTGTGCATTTTCATGCACTGAGCTGAACACTGTGCACCTGTGTGAGCAGCCAAGAATTGGGAAATGTGTTGCAGTAACTCAGTCGTGTATTCATTCCAGAGGCGTGAATTGAATTAACAGTGTTCATAGTTTAATGCATTTATGTATTTCTGCTGGCTGGGCTGCCTGAGCTGGACTTCGGAAAGGGAAAAAAGAAAAGGTGGAAAGTATTGAAGAGGAGATCATTGTATGTGTAATTTTAACTGATGTTTTTCTGTGCAGTTTGGCGTTAACAAAACTGGATATTCTCGATGTCCTTGATGAAATTAAAATTGGTGTTGCCTACAAATTGGGTGGAAAAAGAATTCCATATTTTCCAGGTAAGCTGTTAAACATCTGTGTTCATTTTTATCTTTTTTGCCAGTTAAGTCACACCTGTTGGGAAAGACTGTTTGCTTTTCAAAATCAGGCTTGATTTCTTGTTCGCTGGACCTTCTGTAGCAATTTGTGGAGCTGCAGTATCTGTGTAAAAGCAGCTGTACCAGTACACTGACTTTTTCATTTACCTTGAGTCTGTGTACAATGGCAAGATCTTCAGAGGAAATAAAATCTTGTGTTAGGGCTTCTATGTCTTGTCCCATTAGATTTTTTACTGGCAACACCAGGGATCTGAAAGTCAGCAAGACTCAAGTCAGTGACTCCGTATCATTGGCAATAGCCTTTAGTGAAGTAAAGTTATAATAAAAGCAGTGCTTAAGCTGTGCAAATATGAGGTGGATACAAGCAGAATAAAGCTGCTTCTGGAATTAACAGCAACAACACTGTTCTTAATAAAAGTATATATTGCCCCTCAATAATGATTCATGTTAAAACTTTTAAGATGTAATAATATGTAATTTTTTTTACATTAATTATGTTTTCAAGAACCCTGTGACAGTCTGTGCCGAGATGAGGGACTGGTTCTGTTGAGATGGGGGATTCTGGAGGCATGGGGTGGGCTGGCAGCAGCCAGCTTTTCCACCACTGCTTGTACTTCCTTGGTGTGGACACAGTGAAAATTCCAGGGGGGAAAAGCTTGCAAACATCTGAGTTTTTCACAAGCCTGATTTAACCCTATTCCATAAAGATAAAAACCTTGTCTACTGTTTTATTATGTGCTAGTCTAAACCAAAAAGAGGAACTACTGTAAACCTCAAAAAATCTATTTCCTCAAAAATAAAACTGTGGTGTTTCTGTTGACTCTATGTTGACAGAATAGAGTGCATCCTACAGTTTTTAGAAGAGGAAGCTGGATTTCTGGATCTTCTTAACTCAGACTTATCTTCCTAAATGTTGTAAATAAATCTAAATTAAGAATGAGTGAATTAATGAAAAAAACAGTAAAAATACTTATTTCTTCATATATCAGATTTTAAATGTTGTCGAAAGACTTTTTTGGTCAAGAACCATAGGTATGTTCTGTTAAGGTGGAGCAGCTAAAATCAACTGTGACAAAAATTGCTCTCCCACAGCTAATCAGGAGATACTACAGAAAGTGGAAGTAGAATATGAAACAATGCCTGGGTGGAAGACGGACACAACTGGAGCACGAAAATGGGAGGACCTCCCACCCAAGGCCCAGAATTACATCCGTTGTGTGGAAAACCATGTTGGCGTGCCAGGTAAACCTTTCTGCAGGTGTCCATATGAGGATGCCACAGGAGGCAGGCACAGCTCCACGGAAGCTCTCAGTCTGTTAGTCAGAAGTCGCTCGGTTTGGGCAGGAGGCAACAGAAGTACCAGTGGTTGGGCTGATGGTGGTAAAAGACAGCTTGCCAGGAAGCAGCAAAGGGTGTTCAGCAGGCAGGTCTGCAGTGCTGCAGAGAGCCCCAAGCTGCTGCTGGCAAGGATTTAACCGGGGAAAGATAAATGTGTGTTGTTCTTGGCAAACTGCCACCTTCTGTCAGTGAAAACTTTGGGGTCTGTGCACCATGCTTCAGTGTGTGCTTGGGCTAACATCCTCATCTCTTCCTTTCTCTCTGTGTCCTGCACTGCATCCCTCTCTGAACAGAGAACTTTTTTTTTCCATTCTTACTCATATAAGGAGAGGTATTGCATAACAGAGATGAGACTGTTTAGCCCAGTTCTGCCACTTTGGAAAAACTGAAAATCTTAACACATCAATCTCCAAAGGTCAAGCCATCCAGTTTTCTTCTAGAGCTCTAGAGGTGCCAAGAGCTAGGTGTGGCATGAATGGTGGAGTTTGCAGGGGAATTTCCACAATAGAAAGCTTGGAAAGGTGGTAGGTGTGCTTTTGTTTTCCATAAAGCACCTCAAAAGTCTGCCTCAGAGCAGTACGGGCTGGTTACAACTGCGGCGATTCCAGTATTGTTCATGGATGAGGAAGCATCTGATAGCAGAGCTTGAAACTCAGTGTGTGGTCAAGGACACAGATGTGTGTGAAGGGATATGTAAATAAAGCTCCCCTTACTTTATTTCTCTGGTTCTCTGTGTGAAAGCAGGCTGCCTTGGTGGGTTTGATAAAAGAGACTTACCTACAGTCAATTCTTTAGTAACTATGGGCAATAAAACTGTAGTGGAGCCGTTACAGTATGGAATTTACTGCTCACACTGGATAACGTTTATAACTGCGGCCTCATATTTATCAATATTATGGCACATGGGTATCACTATCTCCTGCTCCACATCACAAAAAACTTCAGAGTCTGGCAGAATTCTGGCTTCCTCTCTGTAGGGGTGTAGCTAAACATCCTGTCACTCAAGACAAGGACAGTTAAACCTGCAACAAATGTGCCTGACCTTCCATTAGGCCCTCTACCTGCAATGCTTTGTGTTTATGGTATAATTATTTCATGCTTTCAACCTTCAGTATACTGCACTTTCTAGTCTGGTAGTGCAGCTGAAGTAAAGGGATTTTTGACAACGAAACTTCCTTCCTAAATTTGTCCAGTTTGTAGTGAAGCATGATGAGAGGTGAAAATTATTCCAGTTCATTGATTGCAATATTTACTCTCGGTAATTGTTCTAACAGATGTGTTTTCCTCCCTAGTTAAATGGGTTGGAGTTGGGAAATCAAGAGAGTCGATGATCCAGCTGTTCTAAACAAATGAAGAACTCCAGTGATGAGAAGCACAACGTGGCGTTCATCAGTCCCTTACTGCTTCCCTCTTTAAATGGAAATGCTATTTAAAACAAACATAATCTTCTAGGAATTGAATAGAAACACAACATATATTCTGTATTGTAACATTTTATTTATCTTTAAGTTCTCAGTAAATTCAGTGTAAAATCTCCTTGTTGGCCATCTTTTAAAAAAGTCCAAAAAGTATTCCTAACAAAATAAGGAAAGTTTTTTTTTTAAATTTGATCCATGTTACTATTTGGAAGTACTTTACACCTATATAGAGTTACTTCTTGCTGAAACCAGTATTAAGCCTTTTCCAGTAGCTACTGGGTAACTTTAGAATTGTGAAACTTGGATTTGTTCTTCAACTTCAAATGTTAAAATGTCTGTATATCTGGGTTGGCAGTACTAAGATAGGTACCATGCACTGAAATTGGCTGAATTATAAATATTTTCAGTTTCTAAAATACAGCAAAGTTAGGTAGGTATTTTTGACTGCACAAAGCAAAGCAAACACAATTATCTATAATTTTTATATAATTACTTTTAATGGCCTATTGAAATGAATGGAAAGCAGCTAAAATATATTTCTTACAAAGCCTATTGTAGGAACTGAGATAACATCTGCAGTGGGGCCAAACTGGAGAAAGCTGACCTGTCTAATAATGCTTTGAACTGTCCTGTGTACTAACAGCCTGGAGACTGTCAGGTGTGCAGCCTTTATTTTAAGCAGTAGGGAAAAGGAGTGAGTGAAGGTGGAAGGAAGAGAGTCCTCAAGTTACAAAACACACAGGGAGAGTGGAGCTGAGGCAGCACCACTGCATTTTCTCCACGAACCTGAGACATTTCTTCCCGCTAGTGCTGTGACTGTAGTTTCCAAAGTTTTACTGTAGTACTCTGTTGAGGAACTTGTGACTTGCAGTTCTGTAAGGCACTCACTTCCACAGCTCCTGGGTTTCCAAGAATAAATCAAGGCATGACTCAATGATGACTGCTGCAGTATTTACACCCCTCACTCATTTTGACCTTCCTCAGCAAAATGTAATGACTATTTATAGAAGGGGGTGACATGTGACAGCCAGGGTTGGGACATGTAGAAACCATGGAGAGATCCCAGAATCTTCAAGAATACGCTTGGATTTCTTTGTGGATCTTCTAATTTATAATGGTTATGCATCAAGAGCTCTCAAAAAACTCCTCTTGTAGAGGAAAAAGAATACACTAGAGATGGGGTTATTCCCTATCTGTGAAATTTTCCACGTAAACGTTCCTTTTCTATATATGCGTCAGAGAGCTATGACAATATTTTTGTATCATTTCCAAGGGCTGTGGAAATGGCATCACGACCTCAGTAATGCCATTATGCAGTGTGTGAAAATATCCCTTTTCGGAGATGGTCACTCCAAGGGTGCAAACAATTATACACTTGGCATTCCAGATGGGGGAAAAGGAAAACCTGTCCGGAGAATCTTGTGTCCTACTCATCCCCTGTGTCTTTTCTCACTCAGTGTTGAACAGCAGATAATGTTCAAAGCCATTCGTGTCAAGCAGGACTTTAAGAAGTACCAGTACAAAGCACTAAAGGTAGCTGTGTATGGTTGTATTGCTGCTTGTAAGGCAGAACTCTGACACCCTCCAGCTGCGGTGCAGTCTCTTCGCGCCCCAGTTCATCACGGACTCTGTCCCTTCTTCTCTAACAAAAAACAAACGAACAAAAACCAAAACCAGAGCCCAAAACTGTGAGTCTTTAATTCAGTGTCAACTTCCTTGGTCACCCTTGACAAATTGTTTGATCTCACTGCTGCTGTTTTTGCAATCTGTAAAAATGGCAATTAGAAAAACATCTTCACTGCCTTTTGGAGGTCCCTGGGTTGAGCCCTGCAGTTCTTCCTCTGAATAGATGAGGAAGCTCTCCTCATCATATTTATGGGTATTCTAATGAAAGAGCAACGAGATTTCTGACCTTATTTAATGTTTGCAAAGCACTTCTGAAAGGTGCTTGGTAAGTGCTAATTATTACAAGCACTGTGAAGTGTTCCTCATTTATATGAGGTAATTTAAGCATAAAGATGCTTGGAGGTATAGTAATTAAGTTTTGTTTTCACATGGCTTAACCTTGTGACATTTGCCTTCTGAATGATCTAGAGCCGTTCCTTTTCTTGGCCCCATCTTCATCAGTGCATTTGTGCTGGGAGGTTTCTGCTGTATTTAAGCTTTGATTGATTTATAGGCAAAGTCCACAATGACTAAGAAGCCACTCTGTGTGCTGAATAACTGGATTAAATGATCAACTCTAAACTGAGTATTTGGCATATTGAAGATAATAGGTTTTATAGTTTAATTTTCACAGGATTACTTTCTCTTGTTCACCTAATCTTTTTATTTTCCATTTTCCATTAAGTATCTGTTAGATCCACATGGCCTGTCTTTGCTTCCAAGGATTCATCAAAAACCCAGTGAGGTTGTCAGTGGGCATGATGTAATAGCCAATTATCCCATGACTCTGTTACTGTAAAAGTAATACACATTTCATTTCATAGCATGGATATTTTAAATGAAAGTTCTACTCCTATTAAATTTCATATGTGTTGTCATTGAGTTAAATGTGAATAAGTTCAGGCTTTTATCAAAAAGCTCTTTAATCTACTGAGTGACACAATGCTTAATAAGAACATTTTAATGTAGATTTCCCTTCATTTTGGCTGTTTCCCATGTATATTGTTTTGTACTGTTTGGAATTTCATTTAATAACAGTCACTGTGTTGAATTTAACTACTTCTTTATCCCCAGCCAAATGCAATAATAATGGCTAAAACTGGTTGATGCATCGTCCTGTTCAGTATCTGGATGGAAGAATAAGGGTAAACATTTACCAAAATGCCATAATTTGTGATAAAGGTTATAGTTTTTTAAAAGTAGCAATTACTGTTTCACACCTGCACAGTAATGTGTTTGACATATTTTCTCACACTTACCCTTACAACATGGCCTTCTAGTCAGGTGTACACTTCCTAACACATGCAGGATAGGATTTTGAAGATTTTGTAATTTTTTAATTTGGCTATATATGGTCTTACAGTTCTGGCATAATGCACTTTATAAAAAGAAAGAAAATTAAGCATTTCCATAGTAAATGTGCAATCTATACTTACACTTTATGCAGATTTTTTCCGGATGATTTTTGATCCACACCTGTTTATTTTCTCCTTAAAAATGTATTAAAACAAATTTAAATTAACAGTGCTTGGTCTCTATTTCTCTTTTATTTTTTAACAAAATACTCTTCATACATAAACCTGGTTTAGTATTTCATAAATTTTAGAAAATAACTAGCAGCATCAGTGAATGAACGGATATTTTCTTTCAGTCTACAGATTTTCATCCTTTGGCCTTTTTTTACACGTTCTATAAACTTTGTCACCCTTTCCCATTTACGAACTGAGCAGGGATCCACCTTTAACACTGAGATTCATGGTTATCTTCAGTTAGCTGGCCTGAGTGACCAATGGTTTTATGAAGGAAAAACACATTTTCTAATTAATGCAAAAACATTCTTGCTAGAACAGCTGGCTCAGAACAACTGATGTGAACTCCATGTAGCTTTTTATCAGCATCACTGTGATAGAAAAGAAAGGCAGATGCTGGCTCAGATAAATAAATGTCACCTCTAAAATGTGAGTCAGCTTCAGACAAGTACTGTTAGGGCTTCCAGAAGCCTTTACAGAATCACTTTTTCTCATGTGTTTTAGAAGAAGCCAGAAACAGCAGGTAAGGGACTTGTCCTGTAAATGACAGCAGGTAAACACACAATTCAGGGCAATGCCTGAGAGCTGTTGATCTGCTAATTAACTATGGTCTCTTCATTTCCTTTGCATCAGTTTGGCATGTATAATTGCACATAGAATGGTCTTTGGTAGCTGAAGCACCTGAAGCAGTTTCATCTAACTCCACGTAGGGCTGGAACCGCCCAATGCAAAAAAAAACCCACCATCACATCACCGCCCAAAAAAACCCCAAACAAACAAAACAAAAAAAAAGAATAAAATAAACAAAACCAACCAAAAAACTCTGGGGGAGTTTCTATGCCAAAATTGCCCATTTGGAAAGTTCTTTGGTTTGTTACTGGTGTGTTTGTTGTCTGTCACCTGGAGAGCTGAGTCTGATGACTGGGAGGCAGGAAAAAATACAGACTTTCCTGCCCCTAACCTCTCCTAGTAATAATTTACATGGGGTAAAGCTCCAGCCCACTTGTGGAAATGGCCCAGCTTCCTGTGCAGCAACTTTTCATGTCCATCAGAGAGCTGGTTTCAAGTGCTGGATGTTTGCAAAAAGGATGAGCTGACATCACCTTTTTAAATGGGCATCAGGCAAGGAAGAAAATCCAGCTCCAATCGTCTTATCTTTAGCAGTCCCTGTTCGTGGTACAGGCACTCCATCAGGGGTGTAACCTGTGCATTTGTTGGCTACTGACAAGTGAGTGTGGTAGTGTTTGTTTCATCTCTTTATTAGATCCATGTTGCCAGTGAAGAAGAGGACGCCTGAGGCATGGAGCCTGCTGGACTGCCACAGTGCTACATGGATTCATGGCATGTGACAAGTGGTACAGCACAGGCTGCTTCAGGGAGGTAGGAAGCTGGATTCTTTGCTTCCTGAATCACTGATCCATCACAAACGAGCTTTGATATGAAAGTATTTTACCCTTGGATGGGGCTGGCTGCACCTTTGCATATTGGTCAAATCTAAAATGAGATATTATCCATGTAGACGTCAGCCATAGAGCGAACCATTAAAGAAATCCTACATAAGGACTTCAAGATTTTGCCATTTAATCTCCCATATACTTACAGGAAATTAGTTGTTCTAAAATACCTTCGTGCATTATTAATATCTGTACATTTGTGGAGTAGACACTGCTTGTTAAATATTTGCCCATCAGTCATATGAGATGGTAAGAAAAAAAAACAAAACAGGAGAGAAGGTCTTCTGTGAGCACATACACTTTACAGCTTCCATTAATGTAGAAAATTCTGGCCAACAGCTGCCTTTTTCAGTGGTTGAAAACAGTACAAATTTTAACACTGTCTAAATAAATGTGTTTGGCAAGAAAATGTCTTTGTCAGAAAAAATAAAGCCAACACTGGTGTATTTGAACATTTTCACAGTCTCAAGATAATGCATCTTTCCTGTGTTGGGTGTCACCTTTCGAGAGCTGAACACGTACTCCAGAGTTTACTCTACAGGCTTGTAAATAGAGTCTCAGACTGCAGTGCTGGGCTTCAGGTGATACCTTTACAGCGCCTGAGAAGTGGCAGAGCACTTCAGACAGTTTAGGTGGCCGCTGAAATCCTTAAAATACCGTGGGTAGAGGCACTGGAGACATGTTTTCTTGCAGGCTGCAGGATACAGTCAACTGTACGCACGCTTCCAGCAGAGGTGTCAGTGTCCATCTTCATCTTCCTGTATGGGACACAAACTTTCCGTTCTAACTGGGCCTAATTCTTGAAATGTGAGGAAACAGTGTTTGCTGCTGAGGTTTGTGGAAGCTTGGCTGGCCTGTAAATGGAGATAGTCCCATGCAAGTGGAGGCAGCCTTTGGTGAATCTGACAAAATGAGAAGCTTGGAAATACAGTCACAATCATAAAAACTTGTTTCATGGTGTTCTTTGCTTCTGAAGAGGAAACTCCCAGTGTCAAACCTACTGTATTTAGTCCTGTTTCCATTGAGATTCTTAAAGTAGTACAGCCCTCTGCCACAAATGGAGACCTGTCCTTCGAGTTCTGAGTTCTAGATGGCTGACAACAGATGGCAAAGACCTTGGTAAGCTTGAGGGCTTGGCAATGGAAAGCTCCTGAAGTGCAGGAAGAAGTGAAGGGTTCCCCATGTCTCAGTACAGACTGGGAAACAGCTGGCTGTGGAGAAGTTCTGCTAAAAAGGATCTGAGGTTTACAGCAGATGCCAGGGTGAATATGATGCACTTGCATCTT